CCCGCTTCATTTCATTAATCTTTTACTGTAGGCCGCTTTACACAATTTGAGTGCTTACACACACGCTGGCTTTATAATCGATATATTATATTGGTGTACATGCTATGTGGAATGTTTTGCGAAACGGACTGGCTGGGAAATGCGAACATTCGACGTTTGTAGATAGGCAGATCGCTGCAGCGAAATTTGGTATCTTTTTTCTCAGGTTTGTGGTGTGATTCGATCTATTCAATTCTTATTGTAAACTTCGTCTTTCTCTCTCTTCGTTTTTTGTACGTTTGGACCTACCTTCCGTACTTTTACTTCCAAGACTAGCTCATATAAAAAGGGGTTAAGGATAGGAAAGAATTCAATTGATTTTTCTTTCGCTGATAATTTAAATCCATATTGGCATGTCTTTGAAACAATTTTTTGTTACTTCTCTTTGTAAGGAATTATAAATGTCATGAAAATTACAAGAGCTTATCTCACACTGAATACATTTACTATGATTAAACACTGAAATCAGAAACCTTTGTACAATCACCCTTAAAAGACAAAAAATCTCTAATTAAGCTCAAGAATATCCTTACTGGCCAGATAATTAAACTTATCTTAGTTAACTATCTAACTAAACAAACTCATATTATTAAATAACGTTCATTAAGAATTACTCAAACCTCCGAACTTTCGTCCAAATGACCCAAGGACTCACTCCATAACAAATCGCACGATTTGTGTATAAATAACATGGTTAAATTGAAACAATGCGCTGCATTTTTTGTGTGAACATTAACGAACGGAAAGTTTCCGTTTATGGTGAAACTCAATTGTCAATATTTATGCACTTTATCCACCAATTTATTGCGATAAGCGACTTTGTTTCTTCGACGCACTGTTATGAAATCCTTCACCCTTACATTTGCACGTTATTAGTCGCACTCTGAGTCGCACTTTAGCGTAATTCAATATATTTCTACTCCACAATCGGATCCTGAACAAACCGCTGCCTAAATTATTTTACTGTCACAAATAAATGTGTTGCAAGTTCGCATCCACTGCGAATCACTCTTTTTCTTCGCGAGCCAGACTCCGGATAGTTCGCTCTTCTCTGTCTCACTTACTCCGACCGAACGAATTATTTCATATTCCATGGTAAAAATAACTTTGCTTCTTTCGCATGCACCATTGCACGATAAACTAACACATTTACAATACAGTATGATTCGTTTAAATATACACATAAGTTTTCCTCCAAAGCAGGAGCAAAATGTAGTTGCTTTGAATTGAAAAAAATCTGGAGATACTTTAATTTCGTGTTCACCAAAAGATAAAGAAAATCTTAAAATTCCTTTTATTTATATTTTCGAGCTTGAAATTTTAACAAATTATACGTATCTGAAGATTGTCTACTATTTGATTGCACTTAATCACTGGTTGATACAAAAAAAGAGGTTCGAAGCTAATCGTAGGTCGTTAACAAAGAGGCAATATATGGAAGATGCAAGAGATCTTCCTTTCTCTCTCGAGTTGTATATTATACCTATTATACTACTTTAAACCCAGCATATCTAAGTAACATAACCACAGATTTGGACGATATGAAGCGAACTTTTAATTAAGATTGTGGAAAATTTAGGGTTTCTCCCGCAAATGTTTTTGTTGAAAACGCTTAATTAAGATGTCCTCTATCCATTTTTATTAATTTCATGATCGGTACGGGGGGCATATTAGTGTCATGTACCCAGTCTATGTCCATGAACTTGGCAGGCCTACTACAGCAGACCATGGTTCTGCTGACTCATATCGTTAGTGTTCCGTTAGTGCACGTTAGTGCCGCTGAAGAAATCGTTAGTGCACAAAGGGAAACTTACTATTTTTAAAACATATTTGTGGGCCTGCTAACTTCATGCCAGCAGACCCATTTGAGAAAATCGATTCAATCTTTACACTAGTTAAACTAGCAGCGTTAGTGGTCGTTAGTGCCGCCAATATAAACGTTAGTATTCAAAGTGTAACAGCTCAAAACGTTGTAAAAAGGGGTCTGCTAACTTCATGCAGCAGACCCACATTTGTCAAATTGGCTCTGTCCCAATGCAAATTTGAAGCGGCTCGTTAGTGCTCGTTAGTGCTTTACATGCGAACGTTAGTGCTGCAAGGGATCCGCGTCAAAAAGGTACCAAACCACCTCAAAATTAAACTTCACTTATTGGGACTTGCCAACTTTACGCCAGTAGACCAACGAACGAAATCCGTTTGATTTTCTACTTTAATCGACAGGTAAGTATTTAGTGCTCGTTAGTGCCGTCAATATAAACGTTAGTGCTCAAAGTGTGCCAGCTAATAGCGTTGTAAAAAGGGGTCTGCTAATTTCATGCAGCAGGCGCACATTTGTCAAATTGGCCCTGTCCTAATGTGAATTTGAAGCGGCTCGTTAGTGCTTCACATTCGAACGTTAGTGCTGCAAGGGATCCGCATCAAAAAGGTACCAAACCACCTCAACATTAAACGTGGCTTATTGGGACCTGCCAACTTCACGCCGGTAGACCAACAAACCAAATCATACCAAAGGTTTGAACCGCATATTATAAAATGCAAAATATTAAAATAGAAATAGAAACCAGAGCTAATAAAGACATCACTAATTTACTCGTTAGTTTTTCACAAAGCAAACTCATATTTTCACATCTTGAGCTGTTGCGCTTTGAGCACTAACGATTTTTTTTGCGACACTAACGATCACTAATACTGATTGATCGATTAAAGTAGAAAACCAAACGGATTTCGTTGGTATACCGGCGTGAAGTTGGCAGGTCCCAATAAGCCACGTTTAATTTTGAGGTGGTCTGGTACCTTTTTGGTGCGGATTCCTTGCAGCAATAACGTTTCGCATGTGAAGCACTAACGAGCACTAACGAGCTGCTTCAAATTCGCATTAGGACAGGGCCAATTTGACAGATGTGGGTCTGCTGCATGAAGTTAGCAGACCCCTTTTTACAACGTTTTGAGCCGTTACACTTTGAGCACTAACGTTTATATTGGCGGCACTAACGAGCACTAACGCTGCTAGTTTAACTAGTGTAAAGATTGCATCGATTTTCTCAAATGGGTCTGCTGGCATGAAGTTAGCAGGCCCACAAATATTTTTTAAAAATAGTAAGTTTCCTTTTGTGCACTAACGATTTCTTCAGCGGGCCTAACGTGCACTAACGGAACACTAACGATATGAGTAAGCAGAACCATGGTCTGCTGTAGTAGGCCTGCCAAGTTCATGGACATCTCTTTACAGCTTCAGTTTCTCAATTTAACGTACTAAGGATTATTTTCCATGACAAGGCCCTTAAAAAGTGAATTTTTATTGTGCAGTTGGTTAGTATTTTATTATTTTTATGGGTAAAAATTTTCCACTCAATTCATTGATATCGCTGTGCCTATTTGAAGTCAGAAATATAATCGAAATAAAGCTATATTAGTTTTTATTTTTATTGTGGAGGTACGAAATTAACATTTTCAGATTAAGATTATCGACTTAAGACTAGACGGATTATCCAGTAGAAACTGACAATGAATTGTTAAATTGCTCCGGAGCAACTTTTCATCTCTTATGCCTGCCGAATGATTTAGAATGTTGAGTTATAATTTTTTGTGGATGAATAAACTGCGGCGATGAACTTATTTGTTGGTGTGTTTAACTTAACTTAAATTACTCTTGACATCCTATGCAAATCACTTCTCGCAATACCGAATTATAGTTGCACCATAAAATTAATGTCAGGCAGATACCGGTCCCTGCATCTCATCTCATCTGAAACTGATAGGTGCTAGATTGGATTTTGAAATTTTGCGCCACCACAGTTTTATTTCGATTTATAAAACTATTATTAAAAGCTTCACATTTCAAATTCATTTTCGTAATTACCCATTTACAGCGAACATCTGTAAACCACGAGAAAGGTAAATTGTATACGCAGTGCGAATATTGTTTTATAGCTGTCGTTTTCTCAATTTGGTTAAATTAATTTCTCCTTTATAGTTTTTAGGATTTCATTTAAGATTAATTTACTACCCTTATTGTGCGCTATCAAATTTAATTGAGCATTCCACAAAACCGTTTTATTGCTTCAGAGCCCCCACCTCAATTGTTCGTTTGTCAACCCTACACATTTCACGCGAAACCAGTAATTACACACATTGCCCATTATCATCTAGTATTATGTGGTCATTAAGTTTCATTATACATGGGAAACATCTCTTAATACTACTTTATATTTCATTTAACGTTAACTGAATACAAAATATTATGTACCCACAAATCCGGAAGTCGTTCTTTATCAGTTTCTATATTTTTTTACATAATTACGAAAAATTTTGTATTAATATTGCACACTTTTTTGTTACAATTCAAGTTATTAATTTAAGGTTATCTTGATTGCACAAATCTATACGGGCATACTATGTACATTGACTTAATAGGTTGTAGTCTTGTTATGTGGATTGGGGAAAGCGCACATTGTTTCTATTTTAGGCACATGTATCATTTTCTGTACAGGAACTTGACAACGCGTTTGAGTTTTGAGGGAAATAACCTAACCGTATGGCATACATTTTATACATGGATAAAATGAGTGCAAGGTACTGAGTAATTTTCTCAACCTTATGCAGAAACCCTAAAACTGCGATCATAAGCTTTTCCTTAAAAAATCGAATTATGTCGGGGCAACCTAAGATTTTTTGCTTTAAGTTGGTATTGTCACGAACGCAGGCATTAATATTGAAAAAAAGACGTATAATTTATCCTTTGGAAGCATGTGTCGCCGTTCTCAGGAATTATAAAAACATAAAATTGCTACGAACGTCGCATATAACTTTACTCGCAATACTAGTGAATCTTTTACTTTTGTTCTTCACTGTTTATTATGAGTGCAGCACCGATTAAATTTTTCTCAACTATAAACTGAGCTTTCATAACAGTCACTCTTTCACTCACAATAAATTATACTGAAATTATTGATCTGTTTCAGGAAACCTTTGGAATCCAACCTAACCAACTTACCGCATCTACACCATCGAAGCATCAAAGCGAAAGGAATTCCATTGACTAATAACGGTTTAAAAGTAACGGTCGCGCAGCCGGTGTAACTTTAGTAATTCGACGACTCGGTTTTACGATTTTAAAGTGTTTTTAAGGTTTTACGGGGCAAGAATTTGAATCTACGTTAATTTAAAAGAAAGACGAATAATAAAATTTAATCAACTTGCTTTATTCGGTTATTTGGATAAGGGTAGATTACGATTCGGCCATTTCATAATCTTGCGGACTGTATGAAAATGAAAGAGCCGACTCAAACCTCTATTATAAATATATGAAATTACGTGGCTGATGTGATTTAATCGAGGTTGCGTTGCGAACGCGGATGAAGAAAGTAACGTCAAAAGTAATGCATTTGCAAAATGAATGCGCGTGAACTTCTTAATAAAAAGGTCGACATAAATAGTAATTTCGTGTAATAAAGAGCGTGACCGTTTGAGAGATTAGAAAACGCAATGAAACGACGAAACGCTACTGTTGCTTCCGCCTCAGCCGGTGCCGAGGAAAAGCGCATTACTCCCTGTTCCTGGCCAATGTACAGTCTCGTAAGCACGGTAGCTATTGCATGCTACTTTAACGGTATAAATGGAGATTTCGTGCATGACGATATACCCGCCGTGACACTTAATAAAGACGTGCTAGCTCGTAATCCCATTATCCATATTTTCAAGAATGATTTCTGGGGAACACCGATGGCTGATCCTGCCAGTCACAAATCTTATCGACCATTAACAGTCTTGACATTCAGGTAAGTACTGCTTTTAGAAATACAATTTACATTTGGCAATGATTAACTTCCCTTTCTCTTCATTCACTTGCTCTTATATAAAATAACAAATCTTAATGTAAAGGGCCTTACTAAAACATCACAAGAAACTCATTACAGATTACTCTTCATAAGAAACTTTTTCAACAGCTTATATCCTAGCCCTCGAAGAGATAATGTCTGCATAATATTCAGACGCAGGTATTCTTTTTGTTTCGCCTTATTAGCGAATTATGTGCTTTTACCTCGCCAGCTGAAGAAAAATATTTAGTTATATTCTGATTGCACTACAGATCAATTCAATACACAGTTGTATGTTTACTGGGGGGTTTTTCTATTTGTGGGAATATACCTATTAGTATGATTATTTGGCGTGTTTCTAAATTGTGCAACATATACGCACATGATAATAATCAGTTATTGACTAGGGCGCATTTTATTAACTTGAAGCGCTTTCGCTATTGTAGGGTGAAGGTGAAAAGGGGAGGGATGATGGGCGATAAATTAGCATTCCCCTGTAAGCATTTGTTCGAGATTATATGTTGAACGCCTAAAGTTATGACCCTCGCCCTTTGATTCCAAATCGAATAGCCATTGACATCACGTGGCCTGTTTAGTTGTAAATGAATAATTCGCTCCATTGTAGACAAACATTATTTTACATTATGACGACGTATTTGCTTTCGCACACGCTTTCCAAAATGTTTTCCAAAACTTAAGTTTAATACAAAAGTTGTATGGCGTAACCACAATTTTTCAATTTTGGTAGTATTATACATAGGTGCCAGGTCATCCAAAAGCGGTCCACAGACCCCAATTGAAAATTGTAAATGAGACGCCCTGTGCTTTATTCTTTTTTTAGATTTCAAGTTAAATTATAAGACAAACCTGTAGAAAATATATCTATATAATAATATTGTGTACCGTTTTCGAGATTAAGGTTGTTGCACACAACCCGTTTACAAAACGAACAAATAAAAAACAATTTAAGAGATCTCAAGAAAAATAGGTAGTCACAGAATGGTCAAATTGATATGCAACTTCTCTGGTCCGGGCAATGGGAATACGATGAAGGATAAACCAAACACTACGCAGAGCGGACCGGTTTTAAAACTCACTTTGTTTATCACATAACTTGGGTAATCCAATAACTTGTTGGATGAGGTTAACCAATATTGTCACGCCTGATAGAGTGATAAGATTTTTAATTAAACAACACTATCAAAACTGAACAACGACTTTATCCTCTTAACTGCGGTACCGCATGCGTAAAACTTTAAACGTAAAAAAACAAACTTTTTTATTTGGTGCAAACTTGCCCGTAATAAATTAGCGCAACAATGACATACGCTTTTAGAATCGACCCGAAAACAGCAGCACAGTACAGTAAGTTGTTCTATAGTACTCCGGTATTTACTTTACGAATTAGCAAAGCTGCAGGAAAAACTAATTCGGAGTAGCCGGCACGTAGCTACGTTTATTTCGCATTCTTCGTACTTAAAGGTGAGTCACCTCCATTCATCGTTTTTTTTTCTGGCGATTCTCAAAACGCCGCTTCATCGCCCGTATTTAAAAACACATGCATTCGTTATCTTGTACGTAGCGTTGTTAGTAAACAAGACCAATTAATTTGTCCGATATCGTATTTTTACAGAAACATCTGACGAGATAAAAACAATTAAACAATTACTAAATTTACCTAGAAATTTACAATTTAAAAAAAAACTAACAGTAAATGGCAATTTAACAAATTTTTGAATTCTGTATCTGTTTGAAAGAAATCTCCCCAGGCCCTATCAAGTAAATCGAAACATTTTACATACATGATCTCCCGACTGCTATTTTCAATGCATAACTCGAAATTACGTTTTAAACATGGGAATTTTTAAATACAGGGTGGGTCGCTTCTCATTCAGCATTGTTTCAACCTGGTGAAATGATACCCCTGTGGAGTTTACACAACAATTTATAACGGGAGAATATTCCAATACCGAACATAAGTAATTTATTAACATGGGCGAAAGGTTTTTTTCAGATTGTTGCTCTCCATGTCAACTTAGAGAGTTTATAATGACACCAATTGAAAGAAGATTTTTTTTTATATGATATACGAATTTTCAAATGTATTTCTGATTATTTTATCAAAAATTCGCCCATAAATCCAATTAATTAGCAAAATTTTTTCGACATAGACCGTGCAACGAGATTTCTCCAGAATGTTGCGCGCCAAACGTGGCTTTGGTTCTTCTTCCCAAAAAAAACATTAATTAAATGGTATAATTACAAAATGAAATTTAATGACAGAACAAAAACATCTAGCGGTAATTTCTTATATAAAATATGTAGACGGTGACGGGACGGGAGTGCTTCGTGCGCCACCAGAAGGTTTTTTTCGGAAAGCAAGATTATGGTCAGGATTCGGAACGGTGGTGGCGAGTGCTCCAGGTAACTCAAACCGAGAACGACGTTCACAGGATTTTGACGGATTCAGAAGATGGCGCCGGTCACTTCGAAAAAACTCAAATAGCGGGAATGAAAGCAATAAAACACAAATCGGCGGAAAAGCAAATGCGAAAAGGCCTCCCCCCCCCCCCCCCCCTTATAATTAGTGAAACGGAAAGTAACGAAATGCTTATCTTGAAATTAACGGAGCGGTAGCAAAATTTAAGCCAATTCCAATAAATACACTGCAGTAAAACTTAACGACAAAGCTCAATAATTTCGGTACTTACAAAACGTAGCGTAAGTTAAAGACCCAAATTTATAGTGCGTTTTCTATTGGATGGATGTGTGTTTTTTCTTTTATTCTACTTTTGGTAATTTTTTTTCTGTTTTTATATCACGCACGAACCCTACAATAAGGTCCGGCTCAATCGGACGAGTTTCTGTAACTCATTTAAATGACAATCCTTAATTATGCATATCCAATTAACCGGAATGAAATCACCAGATTTCAAGAATCGGTATTCCAATTACACCCATTGTTAAATGAAATTCCCAGGATCAACCGGAAAAATCTTATAGTATTCCTTACTTAATAGTATAAAAAGAGTTACTTGTGGCAATGGACAGAATACGTTGAAAATTGTTATGATGGTTTTGCTTTAAAAAATTACTGTATGCGTGTGGATATTTTTGCGTAAATAGGATGTGCAATTTAAGAACATTTCGGAAAGTAAAAATGTTTCTTTGAAATTCCAAACACAAGTCGACACGTCTTTTTACGTTTTCAAAGACTTTCCACGGTTTGCGGCGAAATGTTGTTGCACATCTTCTACCATGTATCACGACGATCATCATACGTAAGAAATTAAAAATTCCTTTGCACTGCATCGGCATGCATTCCGCCGTATTGGTTAACACATAGTAGACTTATGGACATGGACTACACATTGCTCTTAGACAATGTACTTAATTTCATTAGAAATTTTTGTTTTGATTTTATAAAAATTAATACAGATCGGATTCTATGTGCATTAGTGTAATTACGTTTGAGCATTTTTGTATTAATGTAATAACCAGAAACGTCGCTCTAAAATTATCGTAGGTGAAATGCTAAACAACAGACAACTCAATATGAAAACCAAGTTTTATTTATTGCATGCGGAGTCCACTGCGTGTCTCTAATAACACAAATTTATGCAAATCAAAACTAGTGAGATGTTTAAATTGTACGGTTACTCTATAACCCTTCTACATGCAAAATAGAATATTAATATTGTTTTAGGTTACCGCAGCAATTCGCTGTAAATCTATTAGTATTGTGGTCTTGTTGGATACAAGTTTCAATTATATTAGAGCTTAGACGTTGCATCAAAATTAAATTACAAAGACTCGAGACTTACGACTAATTAATCTGAATTAATAAGTTTCCGCCCCTATATACGCCGTTTATTTGATCCGTAGAGAATCAGATAACTAAAATTGCTTGCCGTTTGATATCACTGAATTTATGTTGTATTTGTAAACCGATGCCGGTTTCTTTCATTTATTCATTTTCCATCTTTTTCTTTGTCATTTAAAAAGGAAACTCGAGAAGGGTGAACACTAGAGCTTTATGAATCGATTACTTATATACAGGCGTAAAATAAGTAGAGTAAAATATCCATCCTACACATTCATTTCAATTACTGTTTACTAACGATTTCATCCGAGCTGCACCATCTCGTTATTATTTATGCGGCATGATTAAAAAAAACCACCGTTTAAAGGTAAATTTTTTAGTTTTTTTCAGATATCTCGAAATCTATTGGCTTTGGAGAAAAGTGAATCCATAAAAATTATAGTAAATAAAATTTCCCATAAAAAAGGTCTGTCTAAATTTCGTTGGATTGTTAGTTTCTGAGTTATATGGGGAAGAATTATGAAAATGATATTGATGTCGTATTTTTATTGTTATTTTGTTTATATTCATTAAAATTTTTAAGGACTAATAACATATAAATCTAATAATAGGTATTACGTCTGATTCAAATAGATGCTTGAATGCTCAAAATTGTCAAGGTTTCCATCCCCGACTCTCAGGAGGCAAGTTATTGCCTAGCTATCTCTGCACTTGTCAGTAGACAGTAACATTAATGTAACTGTGCAATAGTTCTGGTTGGAGGAAGGGACGAAAGGTCAGGCTAAACTTTCTTCGTACTTTTCAATAACGCGTTGTAACGTAATTGGTGTAGATCAGTTTATTTT